AGGTGGGATCATGCAGGATACTGCCTGTCAGACTGGCTGCTTGCACTGAGCAACATGCATCTGAGATTTTCTTCCATGCATTTCTCAGGTTTTGATCCCACTCTTGCTTTTCTATTTCAATGCTAAATATGAGATCTTTTTTTGTTGTTGTTTTGGTGGCCTGTTTAGTTGTTTGAAGTACAGCATCATTGTGTAGTCTAGGCTGTGAGCCTCCTGCTCACAGCTTCCCAATATATAGAATTGCATGCACAGGTTACCACAACTGCATGCGTGCATGTGCACGCATGCATGTGTGCATGTCTGTCTGTCTAGAGATCGAATCCAGGGCCTGATGCATACTCAGCAAGCACTCTATCACCAAGCTACCTCTCTGGCCCATAATGTTAAGGCACATGGGATAGAAACTGTGTCAGCCATCCAGTGCAGAATGCCACAGCATGAGCTGTGTGGTCATCTGTTGGACAGTGTCCATCTTGGCCAACAGTGAGCCTCCTGATGGGGCCTTGCCATTGGAGAGTTCTGGGAGCCATGCCCTGACTTATAGTTTAGGCTTTCTTTGAAAGTGTCCCAATGCAAGGATATGGGTTTTCTGAGCAACCCCGAAACGCTTTCACCAAAGGCTAAGTCATGTGACTGGATGCTTTAAATAGAATGCTCCCAGATCCTTTCACACTTCACTGAAAAGCTTGATGGTTTTCATTAGTGATTTTTAAAAACTGATATCAGTACCTCCCTCTCTGCCCCTTCATCAGCGCTGTGGAGTTTTCTGGTTTGCTTCAGGCTGGAAACATAGTCCTGCAAATCTTTCCCTGAGGAAAAGAGCAGGCAGAACCTACAGGTGAAAAAGAATCTATAATCTCACTTCACAGGCAATCAGGAGTTCCCAGCTCAGTAATCTGATCCAAAGCAAGCCTCCTTCCTAAAAGGTAGCTTTGGAGAAACATGATGGCTTCTAGCTCCAGGCAGAAGCTGTATGTAGGAGATGGTGTTAACTTGGGGTGAGGGAAGAATGCTTGGTAAAGCAGATGCCCTTCACATTTGTGAAAGCATGGAATCTCGGGAAGGAAAGAGAGACACGCTTAAACAACAGACGTTTTGTTTTCCTTCTGCCCTGCTTTTGGTGAAGTGTCCATATGTGTTTGTAAAGATGGAGCGCTAATCTAAGATTGAAATGTGCAATCAAACAGCATTACTCTGTGTGCATAGTGTCTAGATACAGTAGTTGTTGGCTAAGTCGTTATGGGAGTTATATGTTGGTTTTCACATAAAAGAGCTAAATGGAATGTTCAAAGCCAGTCCTTCGCTTCACTATGAAGGTGGCCCGTGGTGTGAACGCAGAAGTGAGGCCTCATTGCTTCCATGTCTGGCTTCCTCCTTCCAGGAGGGAAGCTGGAAGAGATGGCTTCAGTGGAGTTGGTTGGGAGGTCGTAGGAAGGAAGCAGGTATGTTTGTTCTGAGTGGGGCAGGAAGGCAGTGAGAAGGGGGAGGGGGTGGAGGAGGGGATCATTCCCTACAAGGGACTTGCTGCTTTTAGGGGCTTAATCAAGGCCATCATGGAAAATGTTTGCATCCCTGATAAAATAGAGAAAGAAAGGGGGAGGGAAATTAAAGCATAATCCCAAGAAGTTATGACCAGCTCAGCAGCTGGCAGAGGGGCAGACATAGACCCTGGAGGAAGGACCACTGTGATAGCTGTGATTTTTAAATAAAATTTTTAAAAAAGTGATTTGTCCATTGTCTTCAACAGTGCGTTCTGATGGCCAGTTCTCTGTTAGAAAGCAGCCTAGACTCTGGGAACAGCAGTGTGAGCTTAGGGGAATAAGTGTGTACAGACACTAGGAGTAAAGTACAAAAATAGTGCGCCAAAATGTAGGTGTTCTGAGGAAGGTACAGTGTCTATAGGAATGGAGCCAGGGATGGATGGCCGCTATATGGAACAGGATGTCTGTGAGGTGCTGGGGAGATGGGGAGGCAGCAAGTAAAAAGAACCCCAAATGTGAGAAGTACGGTGCACAGACTGGGTAGGATGCATGTGTCTTGGAGTTAAAGAAACACACAAAAGCAATGGTGCTGTGTGTAGTGAAAAGTGGTGGCAGGTGAGTCCTATGAGGCTCGTTCTGGTGACGTTTTTCTCCAAGTGACATGCTAGACTTGGCCAAAACTCAGGTGGTGAACATCATAACAAATTGTGTAGATATTTGGGAAGAGGAACATGTAGAACTTACCTGTGTTTTGGATGTGGGTAGTATGAGAGAAGGAAGGGAAGATACTGTGATTTCCAGGGATTTGAACTGAACAACTTGAAGACCAGGAATGGGGCAGGGACCAGGGGGCACCATCAGGAAGTCTGTTTCTCTCAAACTGAGGTGGAGTTGTTGATGAGACATCCAAATGGATGTATATTCAGACAACTGGGAGCTCCTGAGAAGATGCCAGTCTCCGAGAAGGTGAGGACCTCTGCTCTGCACGAGTCCTCTTTTCACTGTGTCTGAAATTGAGTACATGCTCACTGCACACTGGCTTAGGTGAAACCGCTGTAACAGGAATGCTAAGTCACCTCTTTCCCATATTATAATGTCACTCTTCATGTAGGTAGAGGTCAGGAGGTACAGGAGAAAGGGGATGTTTGGTGGAGGGGAAAGGGTCTGGTCTAAAACCTAGATTCAGTCTTAATTCTATTGGCTAATAGCTATAATATTAGGAAAATGATTTTACTACTTATAAATTTAGAAAGCTGAAATGCTACTACTGGTCTCACTAATATGTTATAAGCATTAAAAAAATACTTTCGTGAAGTCGCAACATTTGACAAATACTAAGCACTTAGAAAAAAAATTTAACAGAGTGCCTTTTATTTATTCCTCGACAATTTCATACATGTGAACAATGGCATGTTGATCAGATACACCCTTAACACCCCCTAACTACTTCATCTCCCTCCTTTTAGTAACTCACCAAGTCAAATTAGTTCTGCCTATTAGAATTTTGGCTGATCTTATTGCCTGGGTTTCGTGCAGGTGAATCATAGCTACAGTGAATCTGCAGGTATAATGGTCATGTCATATCCCAAAGACAGTGTATTACAACACTCTTCCCACCCTCCAGCTCTTACAGTCTTTCCGCCCTTTTCTGAACTGTTCCCTGATTCTAGGCAGGGGGTTAATATCGATGTCCTATTTACGGCTGAGCACTCAATAGGCACTGTTCAGCACATTAACCGGTTTAATGAGTCTCTGCATTAACTGCAGAGAGACCAGAAAATTTTAGCAGCCTTACTGTGATTAAAATAGCCCAGAGCAATGATATTTCCCTCCAAATAGCATGCACTGTGATTTTTCTTTCTAAAAATACTTCCATGTTTTATGGATCCAATAAAGAAACAAAGCTCTGTAATTTGAGAAGTTGCATAGTGGGATTAACTAAGGGGTAGAGAGCATGAGACCTTAGCATGCAAAACTGGGCTTTAGTTCAGTGCATACTTCATTGGTCAAATGAATCCAGAGACTGGGTCAAACCTCAGGCCTGACTTCGTGGCTGGGCTATGCACTTGAACTATCTATCTCCATAGTCCACTCGAAAAAATCTCTCCAGTACTGCCCAACCTTCAGGGTCCTGGGAAAGTCCTTCTTAGTTATCCCAGCCCTAATTGATGATGAACCCTTAAATTCTTAGGACACTAAAAGTTCATTGGCTCCAAGCATTATACTCATCCCCCTTGTAAGGGCTAGGAATCAGTGGCAAACCATACACACCTTCTTCATGGAGTTTATTAGCACATTAGTCTGACCAGTATTTAGCATGACTACAACTGAGCCTCTGACTCACCTGCTGAGCCTCATAATTGAATTCTAAGTGGGCATTTTGTCATGGTTGTAGGTCAGTGACTGGTTTTAACAAATGCTCCACAGAGCAGGTATTTAGTAAAAGATTTTAAATGATAGATGAACTTTACACTTGTCTAGTGAGCTTCTGGCCAGGTCTGAATATGGTGAGTTCAGCTGCTGTCGTAGCTAGCACCCTTGTTTCAGTAGCTAGCAGGGCTGAGAGGCTGGTAAACAAACACTTATTTTTTGCTCTCATCCAGCCTTCTTGTGTCTGTGTTAAATGAAACATTCACAGGGGGCTAGGGAGATAGCTCAGTTGGTATGGTACTTTCCATGCAAGCGTGAGGACTTGCAAGTGATCCCCAGACCCATGTGAAAAAGCACTTGTAATCCCAGCACTGGGGAGACAGAGATTGACTCCTCAAGGCTCACTGACCAACTAACCTAACCAACTTGATGAGCTCGAGGCCATTGAGAGACCCCATTTCAGAAGAAAAAGAAAAGTGATGGCTGCAATCACAATATTGTGTCTAGAAACTAGCATTTCGCAACACTCCTTTCAGGCTCTGTCTCCTACATTCTCTCCCCCTCGACTTCCATGATGTGCCCTGAACCTTGTGTGGGGGCGGGGCTTAATATAGACAACTTGCTTATGGCTGATCACTCCCTTCTTCTCAGCACTTGGACATTTATGCTGTTGGTAGCGTGGTAGCAGATGGCTGCTGCGGTGGGAAGAATCATTCGAGGGTATGGCCACTGGTGGTTTTTCATGTTCTGGTGGATGGCCTGCACCTGTGCACATAAAGGGAGTACTACACAGTCTTAGTGGGTTATATATTTCAAAAAGACATGAAATCTGGAGGGAGTCATGCTGGGGAATGTGAGGGAGGTTAGAAGGGGGAAATGGGGAATAGATATATATACACACATATATATACATACATATATATAATTATATACACACACATATATGTATATATAATTTTAAAAAGAAAACTCAATGAAGACAAAGTATCCAATAGGGAAAAAAAGTGGACATTTGAAGAATTCAACCTAAGCTTGAGCTCTGGCCTCCGTGCATGTACACACACAATGTGTGGGTGAATGCAGGAACCACACATGAACCATTTGCTAATATTTCCTCCCTTCCTTTTCCCTCTGCTTCTGTTTCCACAGGTCAGTGTTGAAGTTTTGGTAGAGTATCCTTTTTTTGTGTTTGGACAGGGCTGGTCGTCCTGCTGTCCCGAAAGAACCAGCCAGCTCTTTGATCTGCCGTGTTCCAAACTCTCCGTTGGGGACGTTTGCATCTCGCTCACCCTCAAGAACCTGAAGAATGGCTCTGTTAAAAAGGGCCAGCCCGTGGACCCTGCCAGTGTCCTGCTGAAGCACGCAAAGACCGACAGCCTGGCTGGCAGCAGACACAGATACGCCGAGCAAGAAAACGGAATCAACCAGGGAGGCACCCAGGTGCTCTCTGAGAATGGTGAACTGAAGTTTCCAGAAAAAGTAGGATTGCCTGCAGCACCCTTCCTCACCAAAATAGAGCCGAGCAAGCCCACAGCCACGCGGAAGAGGAGGTGGTCGGCGCCGGAGACCCGCAAACTGGAGAAGTCGGAGGACGAGCCACCGTTGACTCTTCCCAAGCCTTCGCTCATTCCTCAGGAGGTTAAGATCTGCATTGAAGGCCGATCTAATGTGGGCAAGTAGCTACCGTGCTGGCAGCGGAGGCCTGGGCCTCCTTTGCTGTCTGTATCCCTATTACTGTACTGTAGGCTAAATAACACAGTATTTACATGTTATCTTCTTACTTTAGGTTTGCGTTCTAACCTTGTCATTAGAGTCACACAGGTGTGTTGCAGGAGACTGGTGCATTTGCATTGTCTGCAAGCGTCTGTGGAGGAGCTGGCGGGTAGAGGGGTGGTCGGAACTGTGCCCACGGAGCTCCTGGGCACCCTAGATGACCCTGAATGTGGCATCATCAGCACCTGCCTTCTCCAGCAGCACAGAGCCAAGGGGCATCAGTTCTTACTGGTTTTAAGAGCAATTCAGTGGGAAGTGACCTGTAAGGGTGTCTGGGTGTGTCCCTGTGAAAGGGTGCGTGGGTGCCATGGTGGTGAGTGACAGTCTCTTTTTTCTCTGCTTCCCTCTTCCCTTGCTTGCTCCCTCTCAGCGTGGGTCTGGAGGACCTGGGTTTCCTACATGCAAAGTCATCCTCAGGAACCCAGCTTTAGGGCATCATAGGGAGGCATCACAAGGCAGATGGGAAACTAGTTGCAAAGAATGTGGTTCTCTCCAACATATTTTACAATAAAAAGCATATATATATATATATATATATATATAT